TATAAGTCTTTAAAAGACCATCACGATGTAGGAACGATACAGTAAAATAGCCCAGTTTTGTCCTCATTTTGAACACTTCCGTTTAGGGCAATGACGTTTGATTATGTCCCTTAGTTAGTCAACTGGCAAGTCCAAACCCATCCAGTTTACTTTCAGTTCCTGATTTTTAGTACTTATGAATCCAGTTAATATGTTTTCAAGACTAAAGATGTTTCCAAAGACATATTTCCATTAAGAAATGTGAATATTTGGAAAGGGAGATACGTGTGGACCACGCAATTTGCAGGTTGTCTCGAACCGGAAATAAAACTTGACATATGACTAAATTCCATGTATAAAAAGAATCAAAGGCTTTTAACAGGACAATATTTTGCTTGGTTATTCTAGAATGGCGGAAATACATTTACAAATGGGACAGAATTTCCTGGTTGTTATAATAGATCTGAATTAGTTAAAACACTTCCTTGTCCGCCATATTGTCTTCCTGCTAATTGAAAGAAAAGCACTTAGCCTGTACAAAAAGAGCAAAACCTTCAAACAAACTGTAAAACATTAATTGCTTGTTTGAGCAAGTGAATGGTTGACTTGATAATCTAGATATGCAACATCGCATATTTCATTTCATTTTACCACGCGAAACGTAGAATAAAAGATAGCATATCCATATGGCGCCTGGCTTTTTTGAAGCATGTTAATACTAGATACAGATACAGCGTTAGGTACATGGCGGTTTTAACCAAGAGATTGGCTAAGTCGGAGTGTCGGACACACAACAAGACGGTACTAAGTCTTTTGGAAAGAGCAACATCACTTTTGTTCTCTTCTCTAACACTGTATTAATCATATTGTTTCAGCCTATTTTGAGTTCAAGATGACATATTGGCGCTTGACTTAATTGTAGCCAGGTACTCTTTGATACAGGGTAGGGTCATGCATGGCGGTTTTAACCAAGCGTTTGGTATAGTCAGAAGCTCTTTTGGAAAGAGCAACCCAAATCGTGCCCTCTTCTCCAGCAATACATGAAGAATATTGTTTGCAGCTTACACGGAAATTAACACAGTGAAATTAGTTGTATAAAAATTACAAAAAAGGGAAAATCAACCGTTAACAATACACAACGATTATTGGTTAATTTGCAGATGAATCCCTAAAAACTAATATCAATAAAACATTGTTCTGTGACTACAATAGATGAAAACATTCAATTAACTTTAAATATACACTTCAGATGCAGTTCTAATTAATTGATGAATTCTAAATGAAACTCAATGCCTGCAGAATTGAATTGATTGCCTTGCAATTTACTCTGGTGGTTTTGTCTACTGCTCGCAACGTTTCACATCTGGACGCAATAACTTTCCCTGCCTTGAGTCTTCCGTTAGTCCGAACTGTAATTTGGGTTGAATTGGTGACTGGCGGCGCAGCAGAACGCTTCAAGGAAAGTTTCTATGAGATTTTTTAAAAGCGGCCAAGTTGACACAGTCATGTCTTGTTATGTCCACGTGGACGCAACAGGGTCAAGTATGAGATAATCCTTAATGCTTTTCCTTTTCTTTCAGGTTACTTAGCACCCGGATCACAGTACCAATTTATTTGTAAGTATTCATATTTTCACTCAGTCCCCAGTAGCAAAAGGCTGTCCAGTCCAAGGAATTGTTCCCAAAACTTTACCTCTTCCCTTCCAATACAGCGTTATATAGGAATTAACTTTGATTTTCTTTGTCGGGCTACCCCGGCCTATAACTGTATAACTTATAATATAACAATTTTCTAGAATGGTTTTTAAATACTGACTAACTAAGATAAAATATGTTAAAATTAGCGATCATATCAGGCTTGTTAGTCACGAATCAACAAAAAATTAATCATCTGTTAACAAGAATTATTGTGAAATGAAATGAACTCGTAATTAACAGTCACGTAATACCTTTGAAACTTTTTTTTTCAAATTATCACATAGAATTACTTCCCTTGAAAGCTATATAACTGCGACTGAAATACGTTCTACGTCCTACTATTCATGTGAAGCGCTTCTTACCGGTTATTGTTTGTAAGGAAATAACGTAAAAGCCGACTGGCCCAGCTTTGGACATAACTCGAAATAATACCTTCGAAGTTTTCAACCCGGTTCCTCTTTGTCAATGATGCAGGTAAGAGGGGATGTCACGGAAAAAGCGTCTAGTCGTTCGGATGGGACAATAATCCAAAGCCCCGTGTCCTACAGGCTGTGCGCGTTAAAGATCCCTTGACAGTTAGAAATCGAAAAAGAGCAGGCTTATGCCATTGTCCTGGCAAAATTTCCTTGGCACCCTGCTTCATTAGCCCCCATGGTGCAGAAAAGTAGAACGTTAAACTCAATTCATTTCATTTCTACTATAAAGGTTTTGTCATCATGAATAAATAAATCATTAGATATTACCTCCCTTTACGTCAAATCGAACAGCATTTACACAAGCCATCAATACCTTTTCAATTTCCGGCAATTTGTACAGAAAACAACTTAACAACCATGATCTAAACCATAAATTTCCATTTAAGTTCCTTTTAAAGACAACGCAACATGTTATTTCGCTTTGAATTAAAGTAATATAATGGAATAAAATGTTAATAGTATTAAAATTGGAGGTTGATGGTTATAAATTGCAGCCAATTTTCCAGTAAATCGATGATAATTCCCTAAATATTTATTCTGTCAATGTCTTCATTACCTTGTATAAACAGTTATCGGTGGGTGGTGTATCACTGAAAGATGGAGCACATAGGCTCGGTTTTGACCGCTTTGCGCAGACACTCCGAGCTACTCTGGATTAACCATATTTAAAAAAATCATGGTCGGAAATCCCGTGGCGGAAGATGAAGCAGTCGCCTCCTCCGATATGAATCAAAACGCACAACACACCTTGATTTGTAAAAGGAATTTCTACCAGGTAACCCTCAACTTCAGGGGGCCCAGACGACTTTCAGTTCATCGTCTGTATCACTGCTTCCTACATAACTTTAACCAAATAACGGCTCTGTCATGGAAGAGTGTATACGATAACATTTCAAGGCTTTGTTTAACGTGAACACCACCTTTGCAACGTTTATCAGGTGTTCATGAAGACCAAAACTCAAAATGATAACCAAATCATGCTCTGTTCTTTCCTTTACGATAACATTTCAAGGACTTCTGCACCTCCTGTGCAACTTTTAACAGATGTTCATGAAGACCAAACACAAAGCGATGACCCAAACATGCCCTGTCCTTCACGACAACATTTTTTGTTTGACATGAGCCCCTGGAGCCCCACCTGTACAACATTTACCCGGTCTTTATTAAGAGAAAAACACAAAATAACGAGTCATTGATGACTCTCTACGATGTAATTTATTCTAATTGTTCAGACTTAAACTTAGATTTAAACACCTTCCTCGTCGCCAAGATTTCTGAATCCCGACAATAGATCATTAAAGAACACTGATAAGTCGAGGCGTAGAAAATACTAAGATATTTTTCTTAGAAGGATATTGCCAAAGGTCATATATTCCTGATGCTAATGAGTCTAGCCTTCTTAATTATATCTAAATAGTGGAGAATATAAGGACATAAACTTTCGGGGGAGTTCATCGTTTCTGTTCGCAACACGCACGTTCGCACTGGACCAGCTCACCTGGGTCCTTCGTCTTGGTCCGGTCACGTTCGCCATATCAACATGTGTCCGCACCCTATAGAACAGCAGTCTGCTTTGAAGTTTTCTTCGGGGATCGATGGATCTTTACCGTGCAAAGAATGTAGAAAAAGGGTCTTCTATCCATCCGAAAGACTAGAAGCTTTTTCTATACGCCTCTGGAATCATCGATATAGGACTTCATGTAGTGTATTTTACTTTACTCCTTGAAGACTTTCTCGTATTTCTGTTTTTCTTTCTCCTAATGAACTATAGTAGATTCTGTGAAAAGGTCAAATCCAGTTAACCCCACGAGACAAATAATACGGAAATGTTCCTATAAGCGGATGTGACATATTAATCGCGTCCAATTCCTATAGACATGAACTAATAGTCTTTTACGTCTGGAAATCGATTCACGAATGTTTTGAATAAGGTAAAATTATTTGTGCTTTTAGCTTTAAATATCCCGAATGAGAGACTATCATTTTGAAATGATTTTATTCGCTGAAAGACAAAATGTTCGCAATACCAATATAGGCATTAGAGAATTGACTACAGGACGTCTAGACACAGCCATTACGTCTTACAAGGAAGGGTCGGGAAAGTCAGAAGAACTAAAAAGTTGGCTTTTAGCTTCACAACGAAAGTCGAACATGATATAAAAGAATATACGACGTAACACAGGAATATACTTTAGTCGTTACTGTTAGTTAATATTGACACATTGGCATATTCACAATGTTTTAACGAACTTTTTCTTATCCGCTGATTGTATCAGGGAATGCAGCGATTTGATTGGATTGTACGCTAACATACAAAATCCAGTAAAATTGCTTCATTTACAATCTTCCGTAATATAAGAAAAAGTAAAAAGTTCGTAATAGTTTGACATTGTGAAGATCGTAATAGCTTGACATTGTGAAGATCGTAATAGCTTGACATTGTGAAGATCGTAATAGTCTGACATTGTGAAGATCGTAATAGTTTGACATTGTGAAGATCGTAATAGTTTGACATTGTGAACATCGTAATAGTCTGACATTGTGAAGATCGTAATAGTTTGACATTGTGAACATCGTAATAGCTTGATATTGAGAAGATCGTAATTGTTTGACATTGTGGAGATCGTAATAGTTTGACATTGTGAAGATCGTAATAGTTTGACATTGTGAAGATCGTAATAGTCTGACATTGTGAAGATCGTAATAGTCTGACATTGTGAAGATCGTAATAGCTTGACATTGTAAAGATCGTAATAGCTTGACATTGTGAAGATCGTAATAGTCTGACATTGTGAAGATCGTAATAGTCTGACATTGTGAAGATCGTAATAGTTTGACATTGTGAACATCATAATAGCTTGATATTGTGAAGATCGTAATTGTTTGACATTGTGAAGATCGTAATAGCTTGACATTGTGAAGATCGTAATAGCTTGACATTGTGAACATCGTAATAGCTTGATATTGTGAATACCGTAATAGCTTGACATTTTGAAGATCGTAATAGCTTGACATTGTAAAGATCGTAATAGCTTGACATTGTGAAGATCGTAATAGTTTGATATTGTGAACATCGTAATAGCTTGATATTGTGAAGATCGTAATAGTTTGACATTGTGAACATCGTAATAGCTTGACATTGTGAAGATCGTAATAGTTTGACATTGTGAACATCGTAATAGCTTGATATTGTGAAGATCGTAATTGTTTGACATTGTGAAGATCGTAATAGCTTGACATTGTGAAGATCGTAATTGTTTGACATTGTGAAGATCGTAATAGCTTGACATTGTGAAGATCGTAACAACTTGACATTGTGAAGATCGTAATAGCTTGACATTGTGAAGATCGTAATAGCTTGATATTGTGAAGACCGTAATAGCTTGACATTTTGAAGATCGTAATAGCTTGACATTGTAAAGATCGTAATAGCTTGACATTGTGAAGATCGTAATAGTTTGACATTGTGAACATCGTAATAGCTTGACATTGTGAACATCGTAATAGCTTGACATTGTGAAGATCGTAATAGTCTGACATTGTGAACATCGTAATAGCTTGACATTGTGAAGATCGTAATAGCTTGACATTGTGAAGATGGGTAAGGAGTTAAGATCTGCGTATTTATCCTGGTACAGGTGTGGTTCAGAGTCCGAGAGTGACGGAGTAAGAGTCTGGGATGAGAGTCTCTGTGGCTGAAGGCGTTGTAATGTAATCTGAGCAAAAAAAAGTATAAAAATCTAATCGACTGGAATATAAAGATCATGGGTCATATACAAGGAAGGAAGTGCACTTAAAGCCCCATGACTACACCCCCTACAAAACAACCAATACTTATTTAACAATTTCGTTAACAGTCAATTAGTCCAATATCCGTATTTTTTTAAAACGCCTCGACGAGTATTATGCTTGAAACAGCACGTGGCACATAGAATAAGTTCGTTTCGTGACTGATTATTATTATATTTTCATTTACTTTTTCCTTTTCTCAACATGATCTCGATTACATTTTTTATTAAATATTAAAAATTCTTCATGTCGTAAAAAATATACTGAATACATTTTACGACAATCACAAATTGTTCTGAATAAAGAAGGCGTATGAAATTAGAATGGCTTCACGTGCCAGTGTAGCAGGTAATAAAGGCTGAAAAGAAGCGATAGATAATTTCCGATAAATTAGCTCAAACCAATCGAAAATTCGATGGGAATCGATAAAAGTAATTTTGTCGGGTGAATTTATTAATATAAAGCGAAATGGAATGAAAACAAACAAGTATAAGCGATATCCTGCCTGGACAATTGGAACAGAAGCTAATCAAAATAGGGTTTGATATGATTTGGCAGGGTTTCACTGTGTATAATTATTAATATCGTTCTGTCTGTTTAATTGATGGTGTCACAGTTTACATGAAGTTTCTGTGTTTCTCTGATCTTGTTGAAGTAGTTTAGTAGGACAAGTATCGTCTTACAAATGGCCGCTTTTACTGGTACAAAAAATTACGATCTTAGATTATTTAAGATGGCGAAATGGCGCGTCATATGTCTGTAGCGCTTTCTGTCAGTGGTGCAGGTCTGAGGGGACTGACAGAAGACGAGTTTATTCATATATTACTGTAACCTTTGTGCCACCAGCCGTGCACGTAGATTATCCCTCGACAAACAAAAGAAGAGTTGGCCATTTCCGATTTCATATCTAATTTTCCACATGGCGTTGCCCATCGGAAAAGACCAAACTTACAAAAATAATTTTCCATTTGATTTGATCCTCGAAGACTAGATATCACGGATGTTAATGCGTTTGGTTATTATTTAATAGTTTACACATGGGCACAGTAACCACCATCTTTTGATCTTTCCCGCAATGCACATCGCAGGGTGTTACGTCATGGTTATTATTTGATATTCAACACACGAAGACTATTATGAATAAATGATAATCTGTCAGCTGTTTAATGTATTATTTGTATTGACTGCGATAAATGATAAGATCAAGAGAAATAACTCGTGTCGGTTTACCTCATTACCATCAACGCTAGCTCGTGATATGATATCAAATATAACTTGTCAACGTAACAATATTTCAATCAATTGTTCAATTCCCTAGACAGTCCTTTCTCAACTCATGTCATTTCATTTTAATCCACGAAAAACTCATATTTTTATTGCAATTCTTGTTACACAATAGTTTTAATATTTTTCTTGAAGGCGAATTGCTTTGTGATTGCTTCAAAATACAGAGTACGTGTTATTAATTGTTTATGGTTAACTAACAAACGAATAATTTATGATGCTATGTTGCCGGGTGCAATAGAGTATCAGAATTGCGTTGGAGGCGATTCCTATCAAAATTTGGAGAATACATGTATTTCTAAAGACATTTTACATTTTTACACTTAGAACTTAAAATAGAGACCACGAAGCTCCACTTGTCTACTCTATTTAATTTTTTTTGTTGGTAGTTCTATATATTTCGACCCCCACTCCCTACGTCTTTCACCATAATCGCTATCTAATTATTGTAATTAAGTATGGACATATTTTAAATATAGACCTGATTGTCAAATTAGGAGTGAGTATTCCAAGGTTAAAAATGGCTTTAATTATTTTCCAAGAATAAGAAGAAATTGCTGACGAATTTAGAAATATTTTATTTTATTCTAGTAAATTACAATATATAATTGTTAAGGTCTATGTTAAGACTAATTTAAAATCTATTTTAATAGTTATTAATGATTTATTAATTCCTTATAAGGAATATTTCAAAACTCATTAGAATAATTGCACATAATATTTAAATATATTGCAAATATATATCATAGATATTCAAAGTACAAATTACTGACGAATTGAAAAATATTTTTTTATTTTATTAGATTATATATTATTATTATGAAATAGAAATAATAGTTTATATGTAGTTGTTGTAATTCAAAAGTTATAAATGATTTATTGCGAAATAATGAATATTGCAAAAAATAATCGGCAACCACGATAATTTCCGGTGGAATATCCAGATCAATTATTGTTTTTATCAAATTAATTACACGTGATAATTACCAATTAAATAGGGATAGTCCCACTTAAGATTTCAAGGACGGGTTTTCGGAGTTTGATTTTGGTCTTGAATAACTCAAACAAGGGATTTCGCCTTCTATTTTAATATGTCTTTTTCTATATAAGTCTCAAGAAAAGACAAGTCGTTTTTTATATTTCAAACGCATATAATTCTTGACAGCCATGGATTTAAAGGAAAGGAATTTCGACGGTTAGTTATGAACACTATTACTGATTAGCTTAGCTAAAAAAATCCCTGTTCTGATAATAAAGTATGATTAGTGAATCTGTCCCTTTAAGGTATCTTACAAAGTAATGTTTTCCAAATATAGCCTGTAAATGCCACCACTTTAAGAACGCTCGATTTCCTAATTAGACAACTACATGTAGATCGCTGTCGGCCAGATTTTTTATTTTAAGGACTCTTTGTCTTTTATAATGCTCTGGAAATCGCCTGGAATCGCTTACTGAAAGTTCAGAATAGTTCAAGACACGCTCTAGGCTACGCTTTGCCAGTCTTGTTTATTCCGTATTATGACTGTTAGGCTTCTGCAATCTACAACACGCCATTCTAATGCTTAACTGCTTAATTTTTATCATACCGTTCAGGTCAAAGACCTCTCAACATTTAAATGACATGTTAAATGGCTTTTGAAATGATAGTTGTTATTTTTGTAAATCGTAATTTCTGAAACTTATTGTTAAACTCCTTCTTTATTTCATTTTCGATGGAAATTTACCATGAACAGGTGTATTATTGATATACCAACAGATTTTATCATGTGGACACCCTTAATGTATACAAGCTCCGTATCATACTGATTTCTGTTTGATACTGAAATTCTGCTGAACTAGTGTTCAATAAAAAATTTACGCTGATTACGTAAATGATCTACCATGGTTTGAATTATTACTTTAAATGACTCTACTGTTCATGGCCTTGTTTAATATTAATTGAAACTTCAGAAACCTCTTTACAGCTCCATGTCATCTTCCATGATCGCTCAGAAATGATTTCTAGCTTGCCTGGACATCAGGAGTAATTATTGGTTATTCTGTCCTTTCGACATTACAATGTGAAGTATTTAAAACAGCAAAGATAATCTGAACCTTTTAACACCATCTTAACGAATTAATCCCCCAAAAGTCCGATAAACGATAAGGTGGAACTAAAAAATGGAACTGAAACTGACCATTACATATTGTTGATGGGAAGTGGAGAATTATCGCTCAAGCCAACCTTTATACTCAATAAACTGAATCCTCACGAAGTGTTTTTATAAAACATCGGAGGTTAGGAATAAAACTTATAACCCCGACAGAACCAAGAGATGATTGCAAAATAGTATATTTGACTAGATGAACCACCAGTGAGGTCTCTTCGTATTTCCGTCTTACGGTTGCTAATTAGATCTGTAGAGTATACTTCCGGGATTGTACGTTTACTGCACTGTAACCGGTGTTTTAAACCAGTTGGTAAATAAACTAGAATGAGAAACTATTTGTATTGCGAATATTAGATATGGATTTTATTAAGTGTACAAAATAATGCAATTATCTATGACTACTTGAAAATAATGGAGCTTCTGTAACCACAAACTCATTATTTTACAGAACAGTGAACGCTTACAGCCACTCTGGATCTATTTCTTTATTTTGATAAATATTTGGTCTTGTTTGAAAATATTACTGTATATGTATGAAATGTTTTTGTTAAAAATACATAATGTTCTGTATGGTTTTATATTGTAATGTCAGGCCCTCCAACCTGGGACAATCTGGGTTGATATCTCGGAAAGTTTTATCTGAAACTATGATGGAATTGAACCCCGGAGCCACCTGCACTACCTGCCAATATGTTGGGATTGAACCCTGGACCTTCAGGTTAGCGAACAAGCTTCTAACTAACTGAGCCACCGCAGCTCCATAAATCAAATTAAGTCACTAGCGTTGATGATCCCGGAACTGACATTATTTTGCTCTACATACCATTTTAACATTAATCACTTTGTAAATAGGTCACGATGACATACACGATATGGGATTACAGATTTATTAATCCTTAATGATAATGATCAGAATTCATTATTAGAAATTTAATAGGATAATACTAGTGCTTGTAGCGTGACACCGAGAGCTTATTTCAGATCTGATATTTAACATGCAGAGAATTATACCATAGACGCGTGCGATTTTCCATGTTTTGCTGACCAAATGAACATTGTACTTTTCTTTATCCTATTAAGAGAGAGAGAGGGGGAGAGAGAGAGGGGGGGGGGGGAGGGGTCAAGTCGCCCATTCCATTTGCAGAGTCTGAGAATAACTTTCATCGGTATGATTTCCAAGGTTTTCACTGGGACTATATTGCCAGCAAAGTGAGTCAGTGACTGTTCGACACATTATTGGGGGAAGTAATGAAGTGGCATATTTCTGCTTTGTATTGTGGCATATCATCATTGTTCCTAAAATTTGGGGACAAATCGGAAAACGGACTGTTTCAGATTGTAG